TATTGGAATTAACCCAAACACGCGATGGAAGCGCCAAAAATCCGTTTAGATTAAAATCGAAATAAAAGACGAAAAAGATACAAAACAGAAACATCAAGTTGAGAAACTTCGTTGCACACTACAAGAACCCGAAGACAACCAGTATTTCAAGTTAGCATGTATTACCTCGTGTACAAGAGGGGGTCAACAAGAATGGTATAGTTCCTCCAGGGAAAAACACGTCTCACAACCAGGAGCATGTTCCCGGGATGGTTGGCAGCTGGTTGTATACTACTCCTTCCTACACGTAGATGCTGTGTATATCACTTGACCCAATCGGATAAGGTCCCTACAAGTCCTGATTGAATATGGTCAACACTTTCAGGTCAAGCCTCCAGTATGGTGCTCTTTTTCCGATGACCGTAATTTGAATTATGCTGCTGAAAACTACTACTCGCAAATCCTGACGGCTTTCCTTACGCTTGCGTCGAAACTGTGAATGCGAAAATTACCCAGTCACTGCCGTAAAATGTGTCATGCATCTAGTCAAATTTCAGATATACGTGTCGCGTATATTTGCTACAGTGCCTGACCCATCATGCGGTACCCTTGATACCAACAGACGACTTTGGGTCAGCACGTCTTGAGATTCTGGAGCTTCTTAGACAGACATAAGCGGTAGGCTATTTAAAAGACGCCCAAAAACGGTGAATAAAGTAAACAATATTTCGTCTGTGGGCGCCCCCTCACCGGCGACCGCACCCAGGACTCGCGTACATCTCGGACCTGGTGCTCTCATACACCACGACGGATGCGGCTGGATGGATTAAAGTGCCACCCAGTCATCTGGGCTGGTATTCTCCCGTTATTGTGGTCGCAATCTAGCAACTTCAAAATAGTTTAAAGTTCTTGCTTTGCTCCGACAAAATTACTTGCTTGGTCACTGGAAACTTCCTTTGGCGAGCGGTAGAATTTAGCAGCTAGGGAAACTGCTGTAAGATAGAAACGAGCCACCTCAGTGCGAAATGCTTGAGATTTTAGAAAGTGACACGGCTGCGCCGCTGACTAGAGACACTTAAATTATACTCGCCGAAACTTTAGGGCCTTCGAAGTTTTGACTTCAACGGAGAGTCAGTATAATTTATTTGAACCTTACAGTGACAAGTTGCTAGTAATATTTTGTCCAAGCGACTGAAATGGCAGGGACACCGATTCACATTTCGTTACCGGTTTACGCGAGGTAGAACACGCACTTGCAACTTAGCATATATTGGCGCCCTTCGATTTTCTTCAGCAGTAAAAGATATCTAAGGAATGTCTAATGCAAATTTCACCATAGAGGTCGGTCATTGTCGTTCGCTTGTTTGCGCCTCTTGGATTCAACAAATGAGATGTTTTTGTTCAGTCAACCTGGTCAAAATACGTTTTCCCATGGATCCCAACCTCCATTAAGTGCAGCATTGTTAGACAGCAGCATGAACTGTGCAGTGGTGACGCGGGAGCCATCTCTGGCGACTGTTCCCCTTCCCAGATATACATAACTAGCTCATAGATAATACGGCGCCGCGAGATACCTGCAGGTATCATTGTCTTATGAATATGACGCCCTATGGGTGGTGACCACAAAAAAGCGTTCCCCATGATGATGATAGCCGTTGTCACTCACATCGACCACTCATGGTGACTGCTGGGTCCCTGTCTACTTGCGACACTGACTATGGAACCTCACCGATGCTCGGCAGGTCAATCAAATATACAACGACGGCCCCTTATACTCATACATCCGCTCGTCATAACCCATCTCGAATGCTCATTGTAACTGCTAGGCCAGCGTCAATTTGTGACGGTGATTATGAGACTTCACCTACCCTTAGCAACATAATCCAATGGCTAGCGGTGATCTTTCATACCCATAACCATACGCCATGCCGCTTTATTTTGCTACATATAGTAAATCCAGGCCAGTATCCATGCCGGTCGGTAAAAATAAGACCTCATCTATGGTTGATAGCCTAATCTGAAGGCTTATCGCACTCATTGCTGATTGTTCTGTCCACAAACGCGATGTTTAATTCAATGGCACTATTGGTGGCTCGGTATAGTGATGGAGATCAAACCTTGCCTTAAGCCAGATATAACGTGTGCTTACCACCATAGAAAACCCGCTACCTGTGACAGAACGCTTGCCGCAACCATGCAAGAATTTTTTCGTGTGCTTCCACCATAGAAAACCCGCTACCTGTGACAGAACGCTTGCCGCAACCATGCAAGAATTTTTTAGATGCAGGTCGCGAATGGGCACTCCAATCTGAGTTTGCGCGGACGTGTTGGACGTAAGCATTGTTTAAGTAATTTCGAGATTATTTCCAAATCTAATACGTGGGAAAACACGCAAAGAATCCAGGTTTTCCACGAAATTTCCCAACGTCTTCGTAGAAACCATACGCGAAGCCACTACATCTAATAAAATAGGAATTACGCGCCCACCGCGGACTGCGAGTTCTCTAAACAACGGCCGCATGGAAGGATTTTAGGCGTCAGAATAATTACCAGCAAATGCTAAAACTTCATGTTAAAATTTCCCTTTTTCAAATCACTATAACAGCCAGGCCGTTCGACCCTCCAGTGTATTCTCCGGGATTATTTAGTGTCTAATCGTGCAGTGCCTCAGGGGCTGTCAACTAGGACGTGTCATGCCGGTTTGCGTAAAACCAAGTTTAGCGGCCCTCCTACAATAATCAGTCTTACGAGAAGAACTACGACAGTCGTATACCTGTGAAATGTCTATGTTTGCATGAACGCACGCACGCATGAATAGCAGGAGGGCATTTAAGAAGTTAGATTCCAGAAAATTGAGGCCTAGTGTATCATTTAAAAAAGGATTTAAACTGCGGTTTTTATCGCACGGGCTGCGGGATTAGCAGAAGCTCTAAGTCATGCAACCAAACGTCTAGAGATCCATGCGGCTACCAGCGGCACTCCCGATGGGTGCTTCGCTGGATCGCTTTGGGGCGCCAGATGCCCCAGTTGAGATACTTCGGAATTATTGTGAATAAAACCTAAACTATTAGTGGCGAAAGTTTTGCACTTGAACTTTCTGGTAGAGGCGTGATTGAGCACAATCGGAATTGGTCCACCAATAAGTGCGATTTTTTCAACTTGCGTCTTCTTAGGACGTGGCCCACCAACATGGCAGACAACAGGGTCGCTTGCAAGTTCAATCGCTGTATAAAAGCAGGCCTTACTGGAAAACACGGATTTCACTCCTCATGAACTGGCAACAGCTTACATCAGCGACAGACCCACAGCCAACTGTTGAGGCATCAGAGAAGGACTGCAGTGGGACGCACGTCAAACTCGGAAACATAATCCTCACTAATAGAAATGCGGATGGGAGATCTGTAGCCCAGGCACGTGTTAATGATTACCCAAAATCACCCACAACTATCACTAATTAATCCGACCAGCATAGTTTACCTCAGGACAACACGTTTTTCTCCGACTACAGACTGTAGTATACGGTGTCTGTCAGTTTGACTGATTCATATGTAAGTATTGGTTATGTGCAACCTTGCTTACTGGGCTTTGGCTCATGAGCTTTGTTTCTGTTTTCCACTCACAGAAATTGTCGTGAACACCTGGCTTCGGAGAGTCACCGTCCCCTGGTGCTTCCATAGCGTGCATATTACATAATTGGCGACCACGCCAGGATGGTTACCACGCACATATTAGGCCTATCACAAAGATCCTGGCTCTACATATGTGCATACGGGCCTCAGAGCTAGCATGTTGCTCACTCACACACGGTAGACGCAGCCCCAGACAGCAACCTCTGCACACGCTCGCTAGCTTAACGCACCACACCACTAGCACCGGCCGGTTCACGTAGGCCATGGTACACCGGGGACGGTGTTCTTCAAAAAGGAGGCCGGTGTAGTATACGGTGTCTGTTCATCGCCAAATCTGTCCGCCTCTGGTCTGGCAATATAAGACAGATATTCAATACACCGCGAGGTACAGCTTCAGAATTTTCAGGGGCAACACGAATAGGTTCGTTTTGGAAGCTGGAAACCGATGTCAACCAGGATGCAACAGCGAAGCTACAGAGGAGTGAAACAAACTCCATAGACTACCAGCATAACACACTTATGCAAAGTCAGATGACAAGAAAACGGGGGGTAAGAATTCCGGGATTCATTCTCTGGAAGATGTTCCCCCCGAAGTCCGTTCTCAACCAGGCACTGTCAATACCTATGTTTAGAAGAAATTTGCAGCTTTTCTTGCGCGCATTACACCATACGGTCAGTTAAGATACTCCAACGGGAACGAAAACAGCAAAATGAAGAGAAACAGCAGTAAGCAAAACCGGCGTCTGAAGGGTGTCAATCATCCTACCAACCTCCCAAAGACCAAGCTTTTAGCCGAGCATTCTCGTCTTTGGCTCGTACCCACCAGAAGCCCTGCCGTCGTTCAGAAAAGGCCATCGATCCACAAGAAACGCAAGAAAGACATAGGGCGTATAAAGCGATGGATACCACAAACATTCATCAAATCCCATCTGCGAAATGTCTCAGGCACGGGCTTACTATCCTGTTCAGAATCACTGAAACAGATGGGCTCAATAAAACAACAGATAATTCAGATTTGGGTCTCCAAAATGCCTGAGTGTAGTTGGTTCTTCGAGGGGCCTGTGATATTTGGTTGACGCTACTTCTCCGGCAAATAAAACGTCTATTAGCAAGGTCGTTCTGGAACAAAATCCGTGGTATATAACTTTTCAGGGTCTACGGAAGTCTGTTGAACCTTTTACGCAATCAGTACACTTCATCCTCAGAATATGGTAATCTCGCATCAAAATCGAACTCTAGCTACAAATGTTTAAACGTGTCCACATGTATATCGGGCCGCGGATTATACGAACTTTTGCGTTGATTTAAACGTGCGGCCGTTGAGAGGCTTATCCGATACAAGCGCCAAATCTTACTGGGTTTCAAATTAGATTGCTGTCTAGCTTTGTTATCATGAATCCTCTGATATATCCACAGACGAATCCGCATTTTCCTGTGGTGCATTATCTTCCTGGGGCACCTCATCAGCGAAGTGGGTTTAGTTAACTGTAAATTTCAGTGCCTTCAGGAACCGTACACGACGAAGAGGATCTAGCCAGTGTTGCCTTGCAAGTGCAGCGCAAAAGATTCTACGTTGATGTAAAGAAGAATAGGAGGGGTATCTTCATGAAAATAGCGGAGGTTACCATTTCGTAGATTGAAAATTTACTCATTGACAGGTTGGTGCGGATGGCCGAAAGGCACGGATTTTGCTGACGTTAAACGCTGCCCTTGAAATCAAGGATAAGTTGAAGGACCTCATAGATGTGTTGGATGGAGTGCTTAAGAAAGAAGAACCATCCACGGGTGGGTCCGAGGATAAGCCGCAAGAAGAATCCAAATTCTCCGAGGCTGCAAATGGCGATGGACTTATTAAGTCACACATTGTGAATTATCCGTACCGCAGGTACTTCCTTGATCTAAAGCGAAATAAGCGTGGACATTTCCTTCGCCTAACGATGCTATCCACCCTAAATCGTGTTCAGTTGGCTGTTCCATCGCAGGGCATGCTTGACCTTTACAACGCGATCAATGATTTGCTTGATAAGTGGTGGGATGGTTCCGAGTCCGAAACGCAGAAAGGTATCCTGTTTTTCTGTTGTACGAGTTGTTAGCGCTTAATTTGCCAGAGTCAAAATCCTTGCGTGTCGACAACAGGACACTGTATTTCGACTCGTCCTGTAATCGTTATGGTACGTACCTTCGTATATCTGAAGTACGGACTGCCTCGAGAACCGCAATCACAATTCCGAGCAGGGCACTTTCCCGCTTTCGTGACATCATAAATGGCCTAGCTGCGGATTTGGAGAACGTGAAGGTATGAGCGGTTTGTTTCTCCGTTAGTTGCAGCTCCCGGCTGATCAGACGTGCCCCACAGAGAAGAATAACGCGAGTGAGCCCTTTCCTACCGCAAACGGTGATACTCCATCCTAGCAGAATGAACGGAAATCGGAATCCCTGTATCTGCCTTTGATGCCTTTAATGAACAAATGCAAGTTTCACATCAGAACTATTCACTTACTCTAGCGGAAGAGGCCCGACTGCTAAGAGTACTCTACCCAGGTAAGATATTGTGTGGTCGGTAAACTGCGGCAGCTTGTGGGCCATGCTTTGGGTGGATACATTTCGGTTTGTGTGCGCTCGCTTTGTGAAAGTTATTTTCCGATAATGTCCACTAGATCCCTTCATCAGATGACAACGTGCTGAGCTGGAGATGGATCGGTGGTTAGGACGCGAACTTATTGTCCGTGTTGCAAACTCAGCCTCCGCATTCTGTCCAGATTTGGGCAATCTGACAGCGTCTCAGCCCAGCTTCCTTCGGATAGCATGGCAACTTGGCCTCTGAAGGATGTTGCAGCTGAATGACTGAACATACCTAGATTATTTCTAAAAAAGGACAATGAATGGTTAAAACACTAGAACCCTACTGACTGTCCCGCCGTAGTTAAAAGGAAACGAGGACTGACAACTGAGCTCGGATGAGGCGAATCCGAACTTTCAGCTGATCGGTGCTCTCAGCCGTGCCTAGATGATGGAGAGAAAAACTTTCGGTGGGTTGGTTGGTGGTTCGGAAAACCTAAGTTGCAGCTCCGGAGCTAAGCACATAGGTCGTTTAGGAGATGGCGAGATTGCTCAAGTGGTTAGAGCGCGAATTTACTGACCAAAATGTCCGTGGTTCGAACTTGACCAGCCTATCGACTTCCCCTGTCTAGGCATGGGCAACCTGGCAGTGTCCCAGCCTTCGTGCTTCCCTCTGGTGGCATCGCCGCTGGGCACCAAACGAGTGCTCCAGCTGAATGATTTTTTTATTACCCAGTTAATGAAAAGGGCAATGTGAGGGTCCGAAGTGAGATAGAACGTCGGTGGATCTAGGGTAAGCGATAATCAGAACTACATCCTTGTAGTTCCCTGCTTTTACATCACATCTGTTTGAGGTTTTAGGTTTTTACCGGAGGGAGTATGCTCTCTGTTTATTGATTAGTTTCACCGCTACAGGTACAAACCCGGGCTCACACATGTCTGCACAATTGCGCGGTATGCTTTGCCGCACAGCAGTAGAGAAATGACTAATCCACCGCGTTTCAGGCCTGAACCGGCGGTTGTTCCTTGCATTAGTGAAATTGAGATAGCTCTGCTGTTGAGGCGAGAACTTATTGACCGCAAGTTCCGTAGTTCGAACTCTTGCTCCAGTATCTCGACTGCCTCTATCCATACTGGTGGTTTCCCAGCCCCCATGCTTCTCTTGGACAGTACAGCAGCTAGACGCTACAGTAGTGTTACAGCTGAACGCGTATTATTGTCATTTAGTAGTGCAATTGTGAACGGCCTGAGTTTTTCCTGATGCATTGCTCGGTGAAAGCGCCTTATGTTGAGGCAGGCTGCTAACCCCTCTGAACGCGATGCTGCTAACAATAATGAACGTTCTTTCATCCTTTACTAGCTGGTCTTGCTGAAAAACGTCATCTTCTAAATAAACCAATTCAGCGGTAATCTTCCTTATGCGCAGTAGCTATATCCTCTACACCTAATGCTCTTCCGAAGAATCACCGGCATCAGAAGACGGGTCAGTATGACGGGGCTGTTGAAGCCCGATCCACGTGACACGCTGGGGCTTTGATAATGTTATCAGGCTTTGTCGTAGTCATGCACCCACGAGATAGAAATCAGCTTCGATTTACTCCTGTTGGGTCTACCGAAATGAAGTGATTTGAAGCACGACAGGTAAAGTCTTGTCTGTGCTGTAGTTTGCCTGGAAAAAAACGGGATAAAATACCCAACAAACATCGCAGTCTTTGTAACCCAGTTGCGTTTATTGGTTGTTCGTTTGCTTGCCAAACTTGGTATCCACACTGATGGGACTGTACGAGGGTTGTTTACTAAATACACTTCAATACCCCACCATTTACGGGGGTAACTGAAGATCAAATTTGGACTCCAGCGTAACAGTTCGGTATATCGGGTGACAGTTTAGTTGGCAACCTGCCGCCGTCTTTCATTCCGACAATAATGTGTTCACTGTCTGGTTTCAGGACCAATTGAGCATGCACCAGATTTGTTCAAGTGTGGGGAAATTGGTCATGCTGCAAACTTACGAAAATGGCCACAAAGATGCAAGGCGTTGGCACAATTTGCATAATTTGCGCCCGAAAAAGCGTCAAGGAGAACTACGGTTGGACAGATTTGTTCAAGTGTCTGTCGATTCGGGGAAACTGCTGGCATGGGAACTAACGGTTCCTCCCGAAATTCTACCAAATGACCTGGCCATGTAGCTTTTGCGGACAAAGTCTCGCGCACGTCCCTCTGTCACGGAGGTTTCATCACTAGCGCGTCATACTAACCGGTCTTTGGATTAATTGGCCAAATCTTGCTTTCAAACTACCAATAGATGGTGTGGTAAGCAACCTTGGTAGATACAAGCTCCTGTAAAATGGATTGCAGACAAAACTGCTTGTTCAGCACCGGTGAACATCATCATCGACAGCATAACATCAATGTTCAACACCGGTGCTCTGCTGCCGTAGAACCATGGTTTATTTGAAAACCTTATTGTGAAGTTGGACGGGGAAGGTACTTAGTGCCAGCTTACTACAATCATTCCGAGGTACCTACACCTCCAGATACTCATTCAGGCAATCTGGATAGAAACTGACACCAAGAACGCCGCTGACTTCGGTTGGCAGCCATATCTTGTAGCGTCTCCAACTTGGCGCTGCGGGGATCCCGCCGTCCTCATCCTGAAAGGCGAGTAGCACCGACAGCACTCAGCGTATCGTGACCTCTTTCATACCCCTCTTCCAGGTCTAGGGTTTCCACCTCTCTACTCCCACCACTCTGGATTGGGCAAGGCAAAAAGCACTCTCTTTGCAAAACAATGGTTAGGCATCCGCGACACATCCCAGCCAACCCAGCTTCTGGAGCTAGACATATTCTTTAATGGAAGTTCCCGCTGCGCAACCGAAAACTTGCCTTATTGCTTTCGCCGACACCAACCCACAAGAGCTATAGTTCTGAGACCGATTGTCGAACACTTGAAGACGTCTCAGTTCCGTTGCTCGAACAGGTCAAGTCTCATTGCCATACAACAAAACATCTCTCACTGTAGCTTGATGTACACGTTCCTTGAAGTTCAGGGATATACGACTTTTTGACGCCCTAGGTGTCTCAAATTAGCAAACGCGACCCAAACCTGACAGACTCGTGCATTAACCTCGTCCATCCCACTACAATTAGAACTAGTTCAATTTTGAAGGTGCATGAAGCGCTCCACTACTTCGAGTGCCTCCGCTGGAAGAGAAGAGATATGAGGCTGAATTCGTCGTACTAGTTAAGTAACGTTTGACAGATTTGAATCGACAAACACGCTGAAAATGGCGTGTTTTGCTACCGCTTCTTTTGCGTAGCACTTGGATCATTTATGCCTCGGACGGCCACAAAAATAAGATGCCTGAGAATTGATTGACGAGAGATAAGGTGTGGAATCAGAGAAGATTGAGTTTGACGGGCTAACTGTGTATGTGTGTAAAGGTGCTGCAGTCGCAGAAAGCGATATCGGTTGGTTATGCGAGTATGACTCAGCTCGTCTATGGGCCAATTCACGTGATTCATCCAGAGTGAGCCAGAATTCTTTTTCTGATTGTAGCAGACTTAAACTCGTCGATCAGAGCATCGCGTCGATGCAGGGCACTGCTTTGAAATTACAATTTCTGACCATGAACCTAAGCAATTTAACAAACTGATCAACGGATTGGATGCCGTCTCTTTTGCGTGACAAATTATTTTCTTTCCACAAAATACAACTTACGAACTGTACTGACAGCAGATTCGTAATCGGGACAGTCAGTGATGTAAACATCTATGAATGCATCCATAAAATGAATCAAGGTTTCCAGGCATTTTAGACTAGTGGAGTCCCCAATGTCCAAAGACTTTTGAAAGGTTCAGAACCAAGGATTCCAACATGCAAATGGGTGTGGGGAATTTGGGCAATAACCTTGCGTTCACCGAATTTAATTGCCGACCGGATTTACAGGCCCATCTGCGATCGCAGTTGAAGTGAGGCAACGCCAAACATGTTACTAGAACCTGTCTACGTTGAATTACACTGAAAACCTGTCTTTTTAGAACCCATTGAGAGTATCGCTGCTACCGGTGACTTCGATATAGCCAAAGACTATTGCCATCAACTAAACTTATTGGGAGAGGTCTGTGGTGCAGCGACTGGTATGGGTCTTTGCTGGGAAGTTCAATTCTAACGATAACAACACTAGGGAGTCTTCATTCAATTGGTAGTCAGTGAGCGTTGCTTCAGGCTAATGTGGACAGTCATCTTTACTTTTCAGTTACCACTTTTCGACACAACGTCCATCTTTTTTCCACTTAACGCTCTCTACACAAATCTGCCATATTGCACATTGGTTTCGCTGATGGGGTTGTGCATACACATCCGAATAGATCGTTTTCCTACTAACTAAAGTTGCAGTGCGCCTTGTGCGTCGAAATAGTTCAGTGGTTAAGGTACCAGCTTACGGGCCGGAAGGTCCGCTGTTAGAAACCAACCCTAGCACTTTGACTGCTCCTGTCTAGACTTGGGGACCTGGTAGTATTCCAGCCCTCATGCCTCCTTCCGTTGGCAATGCAGCTAGGTACCGAAAGGATGTTACGGCTGAATGACTATCTGTCCATCAACTGCACCTACCTGATGAACCCTAATAAGGGCAAAACTGTCATTGGCAGCCGAGTATTCAGCAGTCTTATGAGTATCGTTCGCCAGGAAAAACTGCCTCTTAAAACGGTTAGTACTATATACCGGTTTCGCACATCACGCTTTATCGCTATTTCACATGCCCAACGTTCCGTATACGATTTATCCGAAAGCGCAAGCTAGCAGGATCAGTGTCTTGGCTGCTAAAGCTGGACGACTTTTTTCTCGTTTG